CACTGCCTAAATGTTTCTGAATTGTTTGGTGATTGGTGTTAATGACGACTTCACACTACTGTGATCTTTTCCAGTAGTTAGATCTGCATAATAAGTGGGCTGTCAATTTAATGTCGTATTATGACAATCACACTTGAATCAAATTGAATTTTTGCTGTGTTTCACTCAATTATTTGTGTTATACAATCAAATGCTGCCATTCTCGTCATGACCCAACATGTTAAAACATTTTGTCTCTTTTTATTTTGAATCTTTATTTTTACTTAGACAATCGATGGAATACACCAGTGTATGAACATACCCAGTAACCTGGCAAATAATTATTAGACAAGCCAAACATCAAACTCCATCTTGACAAACTTGGGGAAAAAATAGACGCGGAGATGTCAGCACTTCAAACGATTTCATTGATCACCATTCAAGTGACTGATTGTACATTGACCAACGACCAGCTACACCAGAAAAAACAATGTTGTATCTAACTCAACCCTATACGATAAACTTAATGTGTTCTTTATGGTCCACTCGTACTCAAGCAACAAGTACACAAGTCTCAATTTAGTCAAAGACGATTAAATTGAATAAGAATTATATACATTATCGGCATTGCACGCTGACCTGCAAGTTCCCCTGCGTATGTCACCAGGGGAATTTGAGTATGCAAATGACAAGATAATGAATAACCACATTTTAAAATACATAAAAATAAAAATGTTTTAGTATATAACACAGCATTTAGCTGACCTTTAAAAGCAGTAAATTAAAAAAATAAACCAAAAACAACTTACCTGGAAGCCCAGGATATGTTTTGGTGCAAGATTAAGTCTTTCTTTAAATAAACGTCTGTAAATATAAATAGTAATTTGTGTCATGCAAATACCATGGTAATATGTGATTAAAACAAGCCAAGCATTATAGTAATATAGCTGGAACATAAACATGTCAAGAATATGATTATGATGATTGTTTAACATTAAAATGATTGACATTTGTATCTGATCGTCAAACGAGTATTGAGAGACATTGCTCTGGAACAGCATTAATTAAAACAAAATCAGCCATTTTGAATACATGTATAATGAATATATAAAATTTGAACATAATTAGTCAAAGCATGTCAGAGATATGGCACTAGAGCTGCATTCATTAATACAAAATGGCCACCAGTCGGCCATTTCAAAAATAAAATGACGTGCATCAGGAACACATAATGTCTAATGTATGTAACCAAGATTGAACAAAATCCATCCAGAAATGCCAGAAATGCTTGATATTTGATGATTTTTTAGCACAAAAATGGCCACCATTCGGCCGTTTTGAATAGAATCGTCAAACCAATATATCTGTATATCTATGACATGATCTATAATGTATATTTAAAATTTGAACATAATCAGTCAAAGTAAGTCAGAGATATGGCACTAGAACCACATTCATTAAAACAAAATGGCCGCCAGTCGGCTATTTTTAATCTTATCTGAAAAACAAAATGATGTGCATCAAGGTCCTATAATGTCTAACCTATATACCAATTTTGAAAAATGCTTGATTTTGATGATTTTTAGCACAAAAATGGCCGCCATTTGGCCATTTTGAATCAGATTGTGAAACATATGCATATGTATAATATCATGTATGATGTATGTGTGAAGTTTGATCGTGATTGGTCCAGGCATTTCTAAGATACAGGTCTGGACGGACGCACACATGCATGCACACACGCACGCACGCACGCACGCACGCACGCACGCACGCAGATCAAAACATAAGTCCCCGTTTTCGGACTGCGTCTGAACGGGGACTAACAAGTGACTGCCCAGTGGCCTTAATACATGGCTGATAAATGTCACATCCTTGTACTTTGTGAGGAAGAAGTCACAATTACACACCAAAAAATATCTAGTGCAGATTAAAGTATCATAAATGTGCCAATGTATTGTGTGATCTTCTTTTATACATACACAAAAAAAAAATTCAACTACCATAGATTTTTAGCTTGCACGTTGTTTTGCATGTTATTTTTTTTAGATTATTCAAACTCACTAATCCTGATATAGTTTAACAATACCTAATGTAGTGTGCCCTTCAAGCCGATATGACACGCCACTGACTCGCAAAGATTTCCTGTGATGCAACTTGTTGTGCTGTAAAACGCGTCTTTTTCGCGAGTTTAGCGAGAGAACTGATTTGCTAATTCAAGATGTCGCTAATGACTTTATTATCAATTCAAAATTGCCGCCAAACAAAGAAATCAACAATGACAAGAAATTCGCTAAATCAACATTTCGCTATTAACGGCATTTTACCACAATTCGCTAAAATTGCATGCCGCTTTTTCAACAGGTTTTACAGTAATTTACTTGCGCAGCATACTAACCTACCCAGCATTCAACAGACTGAATAAAATTAATTTTGACTTAGGGTCCATATAATATTAGTCCTGTTAGATTGCACACTGACTACATGCATTGCTTTCAATCTCTCCCATGCTTTATCCTTACCCTATTTTACATGTTTCATCTCCTCTAGTGGAATCAGCCGTCCATATTGCTATTTTGTCTCCTTTATTACGAATATTTACAACTGCGCCATTCACTTCATCACTTTCCTCTCCAAATGCTTCTCCTATAAGACATAATAACTAGAAAAAAAAAAAGTCTTTTAGTTCAAATTTTATTCATACTTGATGACCGTTTCAATGGTTATCCTACAGTGCACCCTCGAGTGACAAAGCACTTCTATGAAGTAAAAGGTCGAAACGAAGGCTGTCAATATTGTTTTAATTCATAGTCTACCATCAGATCATGTTAGAGAAATTTTACTATATTCTTGATGACGAATGACTACACAATTGTTGATTTGAACTATATTTCATTAATTTGTATATTTTATTTTGAAGACACTGAAAAAGTTCAAAACACTTCTACTTACAGTTTCTAACCAAAATCGGTCTAGATCATGATTTCTGTTATGTTTCTGCAAATTTAATAACCAACGTCCACCACGTTTATTTCTTTCATCTTCCCACATAGGTTCAATACCATCCTAAAAAAACAAATTCAGTCAAAGTACTAGAAGACAAAGTACAGAGCACAACAGCTGGAGTTGGTTTGAGCCAGCAAAAATGAGCATTTAAACATGTTCAGCTTGCATCAAGTTCAGCTCAAGAAACCCTCAGTGTTGAACTAGGATAGACCTGAACAATGTAAACGAGAACATGTCAAGTGCACTATTTCAGCTCAACTCTGAACGACATGGGGAAAACTTGTAACACATAAACATACAAGAGATAATCTCATGTTATTTTGTGGAGGAGCAATAATTTGACTCTGATAAAATGCTACCATGTAAACCTAGCGTATCTCTGCAACCTACCTTGAACAGTGAGTAGTCGCATCCAGATTGTAACCTACTTGCAGCCTGAATGTGATTATATAGCCTATTAAAAACAACGATTATCTCTGTAACTATAAAAACATTGAAAGCATAACTGACAATTTTAACACCATTTGTTGCGTTCAGACTGAAAGTGATATCCATACAACAATTTGCAGAATATTTCCCTTGTGTCATTGCACGCTGGTTAAATCAATATATTCAAATTATATTGTATATCAATATAAGCATGTGTCATTGCTTGCTGCTATTTAACTGTGATTAACCTTTTCACCACCAGACTCTCACCCACATTCTTCTGCACTTTTTCCTTACATTCTTCAATATTTCAGAAAATGAATCCTTATATTGGAGACAACAGACAAAATTTGAGTAAATTTTCAGTTTTTACTCAAAATATTTGGCTATTTTTTGTTCTAATCTTCTAAAGGAAAGTGTAGACTATAAACAGGACTATTTTGTGAATTTGTGATGAAATGAGGAAACTGGTGGTGAAAATTTTCCTATCGTTTCAGTCATTTTTTGAACGATTATGTTTAACTAAATATTGCTACACTACAGCAAGTTATTATCAACATTGTCGGTAAATGTACAGCAATTGCTTCCAATGTTGTTGAAGTTGTTTTGCTACAATAAAGTTTGTTTTGATACATTTGCAACACACCCAGATTTCAAGTCGCCGCTCCACTGTCCAATCACGCACTCGTTGACTGTGACTGTCACATTCACAGTCATCATGTTTCGGGGTAAACAGGGATTCCCGACTCCACCTGCGATTCGCGAAAAGATAGTTGAGCTGTATTTAGAAGAAATATCTTTTGCTGACATAGCGAAAAGGGTTGGTGTGACAAAATCTACTGCATATAATATATGCAAAAATTTCACCTCAACTGGTGATATTGAACATGATACTGGCGGTCCACAGCAATGCCCAAAACTTAATGATAACGTGTTACATCGAATTATACAAGAAGACTAAGCCAAGTATTTATTTGAGGGAGATTAGAATAAATTTAATTGCCGAAAATGTGTGTACCATCGATACTTTCCCGTGCTTGTCAACTATTCATTGTGTTATTACGAAATATTTGGGGATGAGCCGAAAGAAGTTGACCAGTGTTGCCGCCGAGTCTAGGACGTAACGCAAAGAGTGGACTCTGGATTTCATAGATATTGTTACCAACTATGATGTCGAACAAGTACATTGGTTGGATGAATCATCCGTTATTAAAACTACTGGAAATCGCGTGTACGGTCACGCTAAAATGGAAAAGCGTTGTGGGTCCAATGACAGCGGCTAGAAGTCTGGGTGCGTCGCAAATGTATCAAAACAAACTTTATTGTAGCAAAACAACTTCAACAACATTGGAAGCAATTGCTGTACATTTACCGACAATGTTGATAATAACTTGCTGTAGTGTAGCAATATTTGGTTAAACATAATCGTTCAAAGAATGACTGAAACAATAGTAAACAATTTGTATTATTGATATACAAGCATACTGTGTAACTATTCATCTGAAACAATTAAATGACAGATAGATGATAGGCTAATTTTAACGGTTGTCATAGGCTACATATTGAGACAGGCAGACATAAACGACCAAAAAACTGAACTTAACTGTGTCAAATGTGATGTTATTGAGGACGAGTTACATTTCATAACTAAGTTATACACCGCACTACAATTTTGTGGTATTTTACAGGGTATTTTCATCCTACCATATTAGGAAATTCAAATTCCAAATATGGAATGATTACGTGCATAAGCATCCTCTAATAATAAAAACAAACATGGCTGACACTAGCATTTGACCGGACTCTACACAAAGACGTTCGCTGATTTTGGATTTCGACATTCCCAGTGTATCCTTGGAAGGAAAAGATGTATAATAATAAGGTTATTACAAGAATACCTCAAAGTATGCACTCAGACAGTACACTGCGCATCGACCTCCACTGCTCGTCGGTCGATACTTGAACTGTACGGCCTTCGTGCATACTGGTACTTTGAGGTATCCTCGTAATAATCTTATATTCCATGTTTTCATAGTTTTCCAGACACTCAATGATACTGTCAAATTCAGGTAAACCATGGGCAGTAATTATATACAGCTAACAATTGAACTAGTTCCCTTCATACAGACTACTTTTAAAATTAGAAATGACCAATTTCCCCCAAGTAAATCAATTGACAATTGTGTTTTTATAAAACTATATTGACCTTGAACCTAAAAAGAAATGTCATATCCACTTCACAGTAGAAATAAAACATTCTATTCCATATATCGACCTATTGCAAACCCCTCACCACTACAAATCAATACAAAGTTTAATCATAAGCATCCACACAGATAGATATATCAATATGATGCAGATCAATACCAAGTGAATAAACAAAGAATGTTTATAATACTTACGCCCAGAAGTCTTCAACTGTGTCAAATTTTGTAATTAATCTAAGATTCGCTGCCCATGTTTTTGATTTGTCATTTTTAAAGAACCACAAAGCCCATTTGTGTTGAAGTGGATGCTTGATGTATACCGTGGTGCTAATAGCACCTTCTTCAGTCAACTTGTCTTCCATGACAACTTCCTCTTCTTTCGAGTCAGAGGCCAACCCTTGAGGAGTAGGTTTTACAGGAATAACCTGAAATAAAAAAAAAATGGTTGTTGTTAACAATACTTTTGGGGTTTTCTGAGGTGCTGTCATTAATATAGTAAATTGCAATTTCTTATCAAATTTACCATAAATCAGAAGATGATTAGTAAAATTTGCATTAATACAAGGCCTGACGTTTTAAACTCGCTCTTTTGAAATGTACGTTCCTATTTATTTTCTAGAGTCTGTTGAGGCCAGTGAGTTTGAAAGACAATTATAATTGTCCAAAGCTATAAACTACCTGTTGTGTCTAGCCTGTTACATAGTATATATATGTAAAAAGTAAACTCGATCCCAGGTTGCAACGGCAATTCTGCAACAAAATAGGGGGCAACAATTGATGTCATTGGTAAGGGTGCACATAATTATATGTACCACTTCACATACAGTGGAGAATGGGTTCGCATAACAGCAGTGTTCTCCCAGGCCAAAACAGCAACGCGATCGGATTTGCCCGCGACGCTATGTGTTTTCTCCGCGATGCTATTATTTATCCCGTGATCTGATTTCTTCAGTCTCTCACAGACTGTAAAGTTTCCTGGCTAACTAGTTAAATCTACAAATGTATGGTATTAATGCCAAATTCCCGGGATAATCCCCTGTTGTTTCTCATTGGTTGGATATCGTTTAAAAAAAACAAAGCAGTTCTATAAAGGCAAAGCCGTAAACCTCGGTGTCAAACGCTTTTTGCAAAACGTATATTCATATGCAAATGAATAGTCACACTTGGGGTCAAAAGCCACATGTTTCCGGTGTGTACGAAACGTATTTGAATTATTATTTTTAGAAATGTAATCGTACTATTATTCTAGGTTTTGATTTTTATCAGTATTTTTGATATTGTATTTGTGTTTTGAGATCAGAATGTGAAAAATATATATTTATGAAGTAAACAATTTTGACCTCGTGATCGTGAATCCAAGATGGCGTCACCCATGTAAAATCCAGCGAGTGTGAACTTCCCACTCGGATCGCATATCGTGCTCAGATCCGGATGAATTAAGTGAAGCAAAATGGAAAATAATATATTTATCAAGAAATTAGGAATTTTAATCAAGAAACGTGTGGAAATTGGAGTGACACTTGTGTTATTTCTTGGAGGAAAAGCCTAAATTTTACGTGGTATAACAATGACGACAATTCCTAATTCAGACCTCCGTTGTCTCGACTTGTTCACAATTGTGTTGAACAGACAACATCGATGATTAAAAAAAATTTCAGCCCGAAAAAACTATTATTATTACATAGTAGCGTAAATATCGTGACTCGTAACAGTTGTAGTACTTAACCAGAAAACAACAGAAACGGAATACAAGCACTGAGAATCATCAACCCAATGTTTAATTTACCGGGACCGAACAGGGTTTATAAAGTTGCTGATTGCTGGGCCAAGCAAAGAAACAGAAAACTCAGTGTTTCTGCAGGACATTTGCAATACTAAACATGCAGTGCACTTTTATTGTTATACAATAATTGTATACAGATTGTACATAAAATAAATAGAAAAAAAAGGAAAAAAAACTGGTCTTGTTGTATTTCCCCATATGACAAACAACATGTTAATTTATGCAAATTGTATGCTAATTATTATGCAAATTAGCCGCGACTCTATGGAAAAATTTCTGGGGAGAACACTGAACAGTGTTATACAAGAGAATTGAATCTTCACCAAGATAGCATTTTACAGACATTTACATGTTAAGGCATGTCTACATGCCAAAAAGAATACAAATAATAGAGCCCGTTTCCCCCTATAAAACATAATTAATGACAGGATTCAATCATTGCTTAATTCGCTAACAGCTAAATGTGCTAACTTGAAAAGTAATAGAATCTATAATCATAGAATTTAAACGTAGTCGCTATAAATTCAGAAAGGAACCTAATAATTTATTTTCAGGATAAGACCACAGCTCATCACACCCAATGCTTGTAACAGAGGACAAAAATCCAAGGGTCTGTCGTACATCACAGACAGTATAAGATCACCTTCAGGTAAAACAGCAAATACTACATGTAATTTAGCAATTCATAAACAAATCCTTAAAAATGCTCATAAAATAAAGCATGATATTAGGAGGGAAAAAAATCATTGAAGAAGTACTAACATTTTTCATGGTGAAAACAAAGCTCACTGCAAACGAAGTTCATCTACTAGTATTCAAGCTAGTCACAATTTTACAATCTTTTCTTGAACAGGTGTCAGCGACTACAAAAACTTCAATTTCACTCAAATTTTGGTGAAAGACTTAAATGTTTTAAAAATGACTACTAAATTAAAGTACTTAAGGCACATTTTTGAAACTTCAGCTCAGATAAGCACTAAATGATTTTTTTTACTCAAAAAAAAAAATAAGTGTTTTTTTTTTTAACCAAAAGATTACCCACCAGCTGAAACATCATCTGTGCGTGATGTATCCAACAAATACAGTATTGCAGAAGTGCGCACACTGAGACAGTTGTTAAATTGGTCTATTTATAGCAACGGGATTCAACCTGATACAATATAGTTTTATGTCGTTGAATTTCCTCCCAGGACATGCAACTTTGTTTTCATTTCATTGATTTTAAATGAATGAATGAATACAAGGCAGAACGATATGCTGTGAACAATGTTGCCTACAATTAATTAAACAACAACAAAACCAACGGTGCGATGTCAGATGTGTGCAGGTAATTGCATGTCGGAATATAATTGAAGAAAAAAAATAGAAATGTGAACACCTAACATTACCACTTCTATATTAATTAAGCCCTACAACACTGTTGAGCGCCGATGATGCATAAAGTTATAGTCGCTGCTTTATAATGAAGCCCTACACATGGTTACACCCATGATGCATTTCAAGCTATAGGCAATCTTTCCTTTTATGCATGTTTGGGTTGGATTTTAAGTGTAAACATTTGTATTGAAGGGAGTATGTAATGGTTCAGTTTTGAAATTGTACAGGGTTTGTATTGTTGTTATATTTGTAGGCAACATCTAAATTAGCCAACAAAATGTTTCATTGATCAATTCTGTAAAATGAAACAAGATTTTTCAGGTGTTTTTGAGTCAAGAGACACACCACAAGAAACGAAGTCCATACAAAGTAATCTAATTTGTTTTACTGGTGGGGAAAGCTTAGGAAAGCTGGAATTGACAACAATTGAGATCTTTACAGCAAGACATACATTAGAAATGAATGTTCTTATTTTTGGATGAATAATTGGCCATGAGTAATAATAATTAAATCACAATTACGTGAAATTTTACCAGTAATATAACAATGATTGCTGGTCTGTAGTATTTTGTTTATAACATCGTTAACAACACAATGAAAGAATTAATCGACAGTTAAATATTCACCAACACATTGTCCTAACTTAAACTGTGGTTCATAGTCCAATGACCGGCTGTATTTCAACTTCAACTTGTCGGTGGATTGACGACAATAAGATTGCGACCCAACGACTGGATAAAGTAAATGTAGAAAAACGTCTGTCGCAATCTGGAACTACGGAATCGTACTAATCGTATCTAACATTGACGGCGATAATTATAAATATAATAAACAAGCCTGTCCTTTTTTTCCCCGTATAGTATTTTATCATGCATGAACACTCCCCTTTTGAAAACGATAAATTTGCGGTACTAACATTAGTGTAGTACAAATGGAGAAAAATTCCAAGCATAGGCGAGCATGGTCATTTGCTTCTGGTTCACGGATTTTTTTTTAAATTTAACGTTAAGACTACATCACTTGTGAATTTTCGCTGAAATTTAAGCAAACACCAAAATGGGACAAAGTGGTCACATAGGCGGCCAAAAAAAAAAGAAAGCAAAAACAAAGAAAATGCACTTTCTTGTTTTAATCTGGCAAATAAAACCATCGGTCGTGTAGGCAAATGAATAGACGTATGTGAACACATGCCGGTTGAATTTCACTAACATATTTCGATGAAATATCAGGGACGTATAGCATCAATAATTCTGTTTTCCACATTCTGAAGTTCCTGTTACTATATAATTTTACAGCGTCTAGATAAATCGGTCAGAAATACAATCTGTCGCAGCAAATTTGAGAGTTTTACCTGTTTGTCGGATACTTGTTCGGACGCCATTTTGATAGAAGGATCCAATATGGCGACAAAGTCACATGTTACCGACTGGCTCTATGCGCATGCGTGTCGACCGGAAGCGGAAAAAAAGTTCACCAATTGTTTTCCGAATTTTGTTTGCGATACTTTTCAAAGAAAAATCGATAATCGACAATATCGACGATAATCGCCGACGTTATCTGTATAATCTCCGGAAATACTAACGTATTATCGTATGACAAAACAGAAACACATCATCGACAAATATATCATGATTTGAATAGAGATATTTGTCCCCGTGATGGAAATTGGGTTGAAGGGGGAGGGGGGGGGGATGTGCAAAGCAGCCGTATAATGAAAACCAATGGATACGAATGAAAAAATGTCACCATGTCACCCTCTCAATTTGTCAAATGTCCGTTTTGATGACCCATAAAATAGAAAAGCCTGAGTTATTTTTCGTGGAACGTGACCTTACAGTTTGATGGTATGTGGTGCGGTGTATTATGCCCGTAATCGGACTTGGTATTCGGACAACTCCGGGTACAAGAAATCTTGGATTTTACCAAGGAACTTCATGGTGTACTCCGTCGTCTTCAAGTTGTTAAAAATAGTTCCTTCGCATGTGTTACATCAATGTCATAACCAATTATTATTTTAATCACTTATATATTTATTGCTGTAAACCAATAGAAAATTTGTATTATTAAAACCACCGCGCTTCAAACTGGGACCCGGGGGTCACTCTATATTAAAACCATACACCATGTGCGTTCTTGCTAAAAAATAAAATAATAGGCTCCTAGGGCTGGCAGCTCATTGGCAAACCATGCCCCTTATTGCGGACGCAATGTAAATTTAGTACCCCCTAGAGCAGACATATTGAAGAAAAAAACACCCCCTATTTCAGACATGTATTGAGAACATCCTGCCCCCTATTGCGAGCATTCTCTGTCGTTTTTTGCACTCGAACAAGTTACTGTGTATGCAACCCCTGTTGGTGTCATTCGTTGTTTGATGAAGAAAGATGAGAACTATTGACATGATTGTGAATATGATCATTTATTTGATAGTTTAATACTATCTGTAGCTGAATATGATCAAGATTCCAAGCAAAACACGCAAAATATATTAGTAACAGATAATCAAGTTGATAAAATAATTTATAATTTAAAAAATAACAATGCTGCTGGTCCGGATGAGATCATACATGAAATCATTAAGGGAGGGGGACAAGTTATCATTAATTCACTGAATATAATGTTTAATGCATGTCTTCATCTTGAAGTAGTACCAGCTGATTGGGGGAAAGGTATTATAATACCATTGCATAAAAAAGGTGACAAATAAAATTTAAATAACTACAGGGGTATATCATTAAGTTCAGTTGTAGGGAAATTATATAATAGAATACTTGAAAAATAATTGGGTACCGGTCACTGGTAGCATAGTGGTTGTTGCATCAGACTCATGATCGGTAGAGCCAAGTTCAAATCCTACCTTAGGCTGAACATCAAAGGGTCGGCTCGGCAGGCCAATTCCACTGGCCGAGATTCATTCACTAACGAATGCGAGTTTGGGAGAACCTTGGTTTAAGGTCAGCAGGTGCTTGTGTTCGACCGGGCCTGGTTGACGCCAGGATGACAGCGCATTACAAATTGCCATTTGACACAGCCCTGTCATGTAGTCCCAAACACGAATATGACTTCTGTGGCAAAATGTGTCGTCACCAGCACTTGCAATTTGCACATACAAGTGCATAGAAGATTCTTCTACTAAAAAATAAAACACTGGTTGAAATTCAGTGTCCACTACATTACTACAGACCAAATACCTATTCTAAAAGGAATAGCCACTGCACGCAAATGCAAAAATAAAAATACCTATTTGGCACTTTGGGATTTCAAAAAAGCATATGACACCATCTGGAGAGACAGTTTATGGTATGCTCTATGGTATGAATGGTATACAGGGAAAATTGTGGAGAGTCATAAACAGACATATTACCACATAGAAAGTAGGATATCATTTGGTGATATCGACACTGACACTTTACACCGAACGATGTCTTCTGGCTCCATTATTATTTTCACTTTACAAAAAAATGCTTGATGAATCTTTACTTGGGGTTACTAATTAATGGCCTATTTTTTGTTGATGATATAGTACTTATTTCACCTAATGAAAGTCAACTAGTGGCAATGCTAAGAATTACTAACAATCTTTGTAATTTATGGAAAATGGCCGTTAATGAAGATAAATCTAATGTCCTAATCACAAACAAAAGAGTTGACAAACGTTGAGAGTGGTCAATTGGAAAATCAAAAATAAAAGAATCTGCTGAGTACAAATATTTAGGCTATTGGATTACACGTAACCTTTCCGACCACACCCACTGTACAAAAATAGTAGAAAAATGTAATACCTTATTTCCAGTTATGAAAGCAATACTTTGTGGTCATGGAAATATTAATAGAGTAGAATATGGTTTGTCACTATGGAACCAAGTATTAAGGCTAAGAGTGTGAAAGAGTGTGAAAGCTACAAAGAACATAGGGATAATATGATGACAAATATAAGTCATATCCAATGTAAAAATGGTGAAGCAAATTTTTACGAAGATATTACGAAGGGTAAAGCATTATTATGTTTCCTTTTAAGCAATAGCACTCAGCACTACAATTATGAGATATGTGAAGAAATTGATAGAATTGTGAAAAGATTTCTCATTGATGCCATGAAATATAGAAAAGATTATGTAGATTACATTTATTTCCTGTATCCACTTTATGTTTAAAAATTTCATTGTTTTGTATTTTCTTTAAGTTTTTAAAAGTTAAATTTTTTATACTTCCTTTAAGTTTTAAATTTTCTGTTTCTTTTTCATTTATATAGTATGTGCTTTTTCCAAAAATTTTATTGCAGATCCTGATTACTTACTAGTGAGCCCCTTATGTAAAAGGGTAGGAACAAATAAATAAAAATATAATACACAATGCACACAACTTTGCCGGGATTCTTATTCCATCAGATACCATTACGCAATTTTATGTTCAGCTCTGAGTGACTTTGGCATGAATACAGGGCAGAAAACCCAGAAAAAAGCAGGAGCTGAATGCGAATGAGACCGAGGCGCGAAAAGGAGTTTCGGAAGTGTGGATGACTCCGGGGAATGACTTTCTGTATGCGGCTTATTGTAATCGACGAAACGAAACGAAACGGGATAATACATTAAACTGTAATCAGTGAAAATGGGTTTTATACGCACAATATTTACAAAATGACTGTTGTTGAATCTGTAATCAGAAATAAGAATTATGAGAATATTCTACCAACAAGGAGTGAAGGGGTCAAACATTTGAAATCACGGGGGGGGGGGGGGCTGGAAGTACAATTTTTTCACGAGGTCTTGTCTGAACATTTGTATTTGTCTTGAATGTGCGAACATTTTGTTATCTCAAATGGTCGACCCCTAAGAAAGGCTGCGTCACGTTCTGTTCCGAGTCGTATGTGTCATATGCGACATATCATTTCTAAACGCGTGTATAACGTGATATAAAGATTATACATGTTTTTACGCGAATTTCGAACGCGTACTTCACTGTGAGCATTGGATTTTCGATAGTGAATAACTTGTTTGTTTGTTTGTTCTTGGTATTATAATGCCGGAGTAGATGTACGATGTACATGTATCTTGGAACGGAATACTGTTTATTTACTTTTACTTAGTTATTTATCGGTTGTAGCACATCCGCCTGACGTTAGAGGGTCTATGCAAGAATAACTAGGTTATTCTGTGAATATGTTTTACATGTTTCTTAAAGGGCGGTGGTCGTCGCGCCACGCATGTGCGACATTTGTTTGATGAACATTGATTTTCCCATACTCCAATGCGCTTTTATAATGATAAATCACAAGTATGAGTTTTGACCTGGGAGCAACTTTCACTAATTACCGCCGATGACTCCTTCGATGCTTTCCAAATCGCCTAAAATGCCTAATTAAAGCTTGGTAATGTCTCGTTGATCTGCGCAAATACTAGTAGTCAAAGTCGCCATATTTGTTTATATGAGACCCATATCTCTCGCATGCGTGGCGCGACGATAACCATCCTTTAAAAAGTGTGAAATTTCAAATTATGTTTTCAACACTTATTTTGTTCACAGATTTGAAAAAATTCACCCCTTTCGGAGGGGGGGATCTTCCATAAAAACTTGAAGCTATGCGGTTACGTGCCGCCTACTGGGTTTCAATGTAAACGAAAGGTTCGAGAAATCTAAAAAAACAACTTTGGAAAAACGCCTGAAGACCGTGATGTTATTCGGGAGCCGTCTCTGACTCTCTCCAGTATTTTGAACTCGTACCTGTTATATGTATATTTATATTGTATGACATCACCGTGTGATACTGCGCATGCGTTTAGCAGTACTGAAATCAGACTAACATATTGGTCTAGAGGTGAGTATGTAAATAGTGGATGGGGTCAGAAATAATTGGTCGACACACCTCTACCTATTTTACTTGAAATAACCCCCTCCCGGGCCATGCGCCGGACAGACAGTAATTTTAGTAATGTTCTCACTGCAATGACTCTAATACAGACCGTGGGAGAATTCCAAGAATCGAACGTAAATACTCTATATTATTAAGTTAAAGCACGGTGGTCGTCGCGCAGCGCCTGCTCGAATTTCATGTAAACAAACAATGCATTTTACACGCGCTGCGTACGTCGCTATGAGTCCCACATCGAACAGGACGCAGTGCAACGACCACCGTTCTTTAAAATAAGATTACATTACAAATCACTCCCTATAAATTGGTGTAAGGAATGCCCGGGAGAAAGGGGCATGCCGTTCACATTGTCGATAACGATCAGTGGCCGTCATATAATAATAAATACTATTTTAAGAGATTTGCTATATTTAAATCACACAAACCTGCATATTTTAACGACATCGCTTCCACCCAGCTACGACATTTCGACATCAATTACTTTCTCGTGTATTGCCGAGCAAACACTCTGCAATGCTGGACACAGCTACCAAAGTACCAGGACTAAAAAGCAGAGAACTCGAATTGAAGCAATCGTGTCCGGGTAACCTATCCGAGTCATATTGACGAGTATACACAATTCACAAAAGATATATATATCACTGATATAATGTCAACTACATATAACGCAGAAACACAAACAATTGACATTATTGGTAAAGACATGGATTCAATGGAAACAGACAATATTCAGGTGAGATTTTAAAATATTCAATATTGGGGCTTCGACCTCATTAGGTGATTCTGACAATGAAACACAACTGCCGGAAGTGACCATGCTCAGGCTGACAAGCGTTTACTAATTGCCCGAATTCTGGTTATGGTCGTATACTAGGTTGATGGAAGTGAAACAATATTCTCAGTAAACCATGACAATAGCAAAGGCGGCGACACGAAATTTAGCATGGGGGGGGGGGTCTGCTCACCATTCCTCACGCCGGAGGAAACGCGCTTTCCTGCATTTTGAGGGGCAAGACATTCCTCTTCAACTGTGTCGCATTGACACAAATACACAAAGGGTTTCTGCTATATTTGCCCCCCCCCCAGCTGCGGTTCTGTAGCTCTGGATTTCGCTGGTTTCTGTTTTTTTTGGCGTTTTCTGTTGAAACCGTAGGGTTTCGCAATTACCAATAGATAAACGAATCAGACTTTCGATGCAACGGAACACAAAAAGCGTAAGCGTAAAGCGCAAAGACCTGTGGGAAAGAGATTGAGCACCTCAGTACGGCAACCGAAGTGGCTCACAACATGGCGTTTTATAAAACCATTTTTACAATTCATTTACATTTTGAAAACTCATTTATATTTTATAATCCTTTTTTAAACACCATTTTCGGTTCTGGAATCGATTTCTAAACCCACTTTCGTTTCTGGGTTCTGTTTTTATTTTAAAAACCAGTTGTTTAAATCCATTTTCATTTTTGAAATCCTTTTTCATTTTTAAAATCTATTTTCGTTTTCAAATTCGATTTTCATTTTCAAAATCTATTTTAGTTTTTAAAATCTGTTTTTTATTTTTAAATTCTATTTTCGTTTTCATATTCCATTTTCATTTTAAAAATCCATTTCCGTTTTCAAATTTCATTTTCATTTTTAAAATCCATTTTCGGTTTTCAAATTCCATTTCCATTTTAAAAATCCATTTTCGTTTTCAAAATCCATTTTCATTTTCACTTTTTGACCTGTGACCTCGCCCTCTGACCTCATACCACATGACGAGGAATTGTAACTCGGATTCTGGCATTTTTTTCTTATTTCCACCAGTGGCGTTTTCATGATAAGGCCTATTTACGTAATTTCTTCTGCAGACTATAACCTATTTGGCCGTGGTTCCACGGCGATTTTGGATGCATAGAGGGTTCTCAGCTTCATCCGTATTGTCGGCTTACGCTGTGGCGTGGAATGCCTGTACATACACAGATGGCGCTGCCTTGTATACCTACAGTACCTTATCCGGTACGATAACACAGCAGACCCACAGCTATAACTTGTTCTAACCTGAGTATCAACATTACAGCTGATAAAATGAGAGCTCGAAGGTTGATTAGAATAAGTTATAGCCGTGGTTTTGCTGCGTTTTGGTACCGGGTAGGGTATTGTCGGTAAACAAGGCAACGTCGTCGGTGGACAAGCCTG